TAGTTGTAAAAAATTCACTGCTGCTGCTTCTGGAACATGTAAAGATCATACTGGTGACTTTTATATTAAGCAGTTTTATGATTGAAAACTAAACAAGAACACAGCTTCTTCACCTGCTTTTTTACAATAACCGTTTCTTATAATTGTATCATTCAAAGACGGTGTAAAAAAAGCATATAAAAGTATACCAAAGATGACAACACAAAAAAAAAATTGCTATACATTAAATCATATTAGATGCTTTATTTTTTCGTTATTAGTTTCAGCTTTCTACCTTTTAAAATTTATAAGAAAGACAGTGTAATTCATAGCGATTAATAAAAGATTAAAGCCTCTCTAGATATACAATTATTTCACTAGTCAAATTCCCGTTAAAGATACTTAAAACTATTGAGGATCTCAAACTATTGATTTGGATGATTTATAAAAAATTAAAGATATTCTAGCTATGCATAAAATTACACCAAATTCCAAATATTAAATTTTTTTTGCATCGATTTAAGAGTTCTAAAGCTGTAAAATTCACGAGAAATACACTATACAAGAAAGCTTTCAATCCGATTCCTTAATTAGTTTTTGTCTTATGTTCTGAGGAAAGTGCTAAAAAGGCCAGAAAAGCGTAAATCCCAAAGGTAAAAAATCGAGGAACACAAAATAGAAAAGTCTGCTCACGCTCCTTGTTGCTAAAGTTCAAAGTTGAATTATATAATTTCCAGTTATCATCTATCCAATGAAAAGAGATACCTAAGAAAGAATGAGTATTTTTACTGGTCCAGGCATCAATAGTAAATAAAATTTTGTCAGAGAATTCCTATTTTTAAAAATAATATATTTCAAAATATTTAATTTTAGTATTTAGTTTTGATAATTTATAAAGTATAAGAATTTAATTTAATATTATCATATTTTAGGTTATATAATAATAGCTAATTTTATTAAGTTATAACCTTACCTGTAAATATTATTTGATGATATTTTTTGTTTTTAGATAAGTTTCAGATAAGTCATAATATAATGTACTAGATGATAGTATTACTGCATCAGGATGAAGCATTTTTATCATCTTTTTGAATTCTATCCTATCAACAACAGTAAAAGGCTGGTTGTCTATTACAATCTATCTGAAAAGTATTTTTCTAAAATTTTGTTAAGAAAATTAAAAAAAAATATAAATAAACAAATTTTTATTTAAAATAATAAATTTTAATAAATAAAAAAATATACAGGTTCATCTTTTACTTTATTATCAAGATATTTATTCATGGGTCCTAAATCTACATTTCCCTCAAGGGCACGTGTATAAAATTTAGTTATATAACGATGAAGAGTTGAAGTAGACTTATCAGTTAAAGTTGTTCTGTGTTATAAATTAAATTAATTAATTGAAAGACTAGATAAACTATTATAAATATAACATTGATATCACTTTACTTATCCTCTAAACAATTATTTTTTATTTTAATAAAATATGTCCTTATATGCAATAGTTATATTTCTATTTTTTAGTTTTTTCATCAAAAGTAAAAAATTTGTAAATATCAGTTGTTCTTTTTTTAATGGAGATGTAGAACTTCCTTGGATTTCTTGATTTTGGGGCTCAGGTTCAAAATCATTATCTTCCAGCTCTGACATTTTAACAAAAATATTAAAAAATGTGAACTGATACGAAAAAGAGGTATAAAAACCAGATCAGTTTTGTTTCACAATAGTTTTATTTTAAAAAAATACAAGTTTGCATATTTATTTTATTTTATTTTATCAGTATATAAATTTGTGCCTACTCTATTATATATATTTTATTTAAAATTAAATTAAAATTCAAGACTATATAAACTTGCGAATTCAATTTAAGGAGAGAAGAAAGACAAGTATATTATTAAAGAAAGGACAGGTAAGTATAAGTTTTTTTTATTCTAAAAAAAAATACATCTCCTTAAGCTCGTAAAGTCCACTTCAACCTTATGAACTAGTAAAAAGAAAAGGATAGGTAAACATAATTTTTTTTTAAAAAAAAAAAATAAAAAAAAATAACTCTCAGTTTGTCTGTATATTCGCAAAACTTATTTTGATCTCTGCGAAATTCATTTTGACCTCACAAACTAGCAAAAGATAAGAAGAAGGAAAGAAGAAAGGTATTAAGAAAAGGGCAAGGTAAGTATAAGTTCTTTTTTAAAATAAAAAAATAATAAAAAAATAAAAAAAAATAACTCACTATTTGTCTGTACGTTTGTAAAACCCATTTTGACCTTTGTGAAACTCATTTTGACCTCATAACTAGCAAAAGGTGAGAAGAAGAAAGATATTAAGGAAAGAGCAAGGTAAGAATAATTTTTTTTAAAAAAAAATAAAAAAAAAATAAAAAAAAAACTCATCATATGTCTGTACATCTACGAAACCTATTTTAACCTCCACAAAGCCCATTTCGACTCCACAAACTAGAAAAGATGAGAAGAAGGAAGGTATTAAGAAAAGGGCAAGGTAAGCATAAGTTCTTTTTTAAAAAAAAAAATAAAATAAAAATAAAAAAAAATAAAAAAAAATAATTCACCATTTGTTTATATATTCGTAAAACTCATTTTGACTTCTGTGAAATTCATTTTGACTTCACAAATTAGCAAAAGGTGAGAAGAAGGAAGGTATTAAAGAAAGGACAAGGTAAGTATAAGTTTTTTTTAAAAAAAATAAAATAAAACAAAATAAAAAAAAATAAAAAAATAACTTACCATATGTCAATACGTCCGTGAAGCCCATTTTAACCTTCAAGAAATCTATTTTAACTCTACAAACTAGCAAAAAGTAAGAAGAAGGAAGGTATTAAGGAAAGGTTAAGGTAAGTATAAGTTCTTTTTTAAATAAAAAAAAATAAAAAAAAATAAAGTAAAAAATAACTTATCATTTGTCTGTATGTTCGCAAAATCATTTTGACCTCTGTGAAGCTCATTTTGACTTCAAGAATTAGCAAAAGGTGAGAAGAAAAAAGGTATTAAGGAAAGGATAAGGTAAGTATAAGTTTTTTAAAAATAAAAAAATAAAATAAAAAATAAAAAAATAAAAAAAAATAACTTGTTATTTAGTCGTATATCCGTGAGATTTATTTTGACTTTTACATCTTCACAAATTAGCAAAAGGTAAAAACAAGAAAGGAAAAAAGCAAAGTACGTATAAGTTTTATTTTATTTTAAAATAAAAAAAAACTGATATTAAAAAAACTGATTATCATGTTATGCTAAATTTTGATATGTGATATTGATTTTATTTAATTAAGCTTGTCTTGAGCTCGCGGGTCTACCTTGGACTCGTAAGCCTTAATTTGGACTTGAATTAGATTCAGTTAAGGCCTGACTAAGCCTAAGCTTTAACTTCTAAACCTGTGAATCTGAAATTAAGGCTCATAAACCTTTAGCCTTGTGAGGAGCTTTACGTACAAGCCATAAATAAATCATACAAGTTACTATTCATACTATACATGTTCCCAAAATTGATTTTGAATTTTTGAGATATTTCGACTTTTTGAAATTTATACAAAATTTATTCTATATATGGAAGTAAAAAAAGTACCTAATTATATGTATCTTTAATTAAAAAATAAATCTGGGTGGTCAAAAAATTTTGGATTTTAAGTAAAATAATTTTGTCTTCTATGAAAAACTATTTCAACTTTTTTTCCTGAAATTGCAATTTTGGTACCCCAAAATAATTTTGCATGCAAGTATAATCCCATTGCATCCTATATTATAAATCAGCTAAAATTGGAATTCCTTTTTGGTATGGCATATCTTTTGTATTTGACCTGTACTAATAGTATAAACTTTTCAACCTAACATATTTGTCTTTTATGCAATAGTTTTCATGTTATTAATTGTTTGTTATTATGCTTTAGTAAAAGTGAATTACAGTTAGCAACATGTTATCAAAACTGTAAGTTATGAAAAATGGAATTGAGTCATATAAAAATTGTGCAATTGACACAATTATTTGATATAATTACATAAACACAATTAATTGAATCAAAGGCTTTTTACTTTTGACATGTATAATTTAAACTATAGTAATTTAATAGTAATTTGAGATTCAGGATTAGTTTTGAATTTGAATAACCAATATTCTAATAAATTATATATATATTTTATTGCATAAAGTTTCTTAGTTTATTTTAATATTTTGTCAAAATAACTACTTTCAAGTAACTAAGAGAAGTTGTTTAATAAGTATTAAAATACTTAATTCTTACAGAAATCTTGAAAGGAAGAATAGATATTTTTTCAGTGGTATGCAATTACAAATTTTTGGTGCTTTTGAACTTTGTAACATATTTAAGTACTTTGGTTAAAGATAATTACCTTCAAAAGACTAGTGAGATTGTTCAGTAAGTAATAAATATTTAAATATTAATTCTTGTGGACGTATCTTGAAAATAAAGGAAAGATTGATATTTTTCTCAATAATATACTATACAATCACGAATTTTTAGACTTTGTGACATAATTTTCAATACTTTGGTTAAAGTAAACTACCTTTAGGCAAACTCTTCAACAGTGCAATTCAAATAGATGTATTTGAAAACTAGTTTGAATAATAAAGTTATAAAGGTTTTTTTAAATACAAATATTATCATTAGAGAAGTTAACGATTTTCGCGAACATTGTTACACCATGTGATTCGTGATAATTCGGTGTCTATGTACAAGTAAAATAGATATTTATATTCTTTTAATAATGATTAAATTTTGAAGATTCTTCGGAGATTTTAAAGTGATATAATATGAATTCTTATAAAAATAACGATTACATAAATAAATTTCCAACTTTCAAATATTGTACAAAGAAACTAAAATAATGTGATAAATATGCGAATATAGGTATATTATTATTTTAGTAATATCCCATGAAAAAGAGTTAAATGTTTCCAATAAAGAATAAGTGATCTTACTGATAAGTACTTACAATAAATGTTTCAAAAAATAATAAAATCTTCCTGATTTTAATCAATTATTTCTATGACTAAACGTTATCATCTCCTTTAACATGTTCGTATACTGAACCTATAATTTTTAGTCCTTCAGCACGTTTTCGCGCTACTTTCTTAGATACGGATGGATCAGACAACACACGGTCACATACTTCTCTTAAAACACCTTCTACTTCTAGTTTTGATCCTTTCCATAAAGCCGTCAATCCCTATAGAAAATTTGAATATTAATAATAGTACGGAAAACATAACAAATATAAACCAAAAAAAAAAAAAAAGATATATATTAACCTTTGCTGTTGTTGCTTCCTCTAATTTGGTCTTTTCAGATTCATCCAATCCTTCTTGTTCAGCTTTCTGCAATTCCTTAAAAGATTGTTGCAAATCAATGGCTGATCGTAAAGTTGAAATTGTTTCAGAGAACACATGGCCTTTCTCTCTAAGAATATGTCCAAAACGTGGTAAACCGAAAATTTGCTCGGAACCTAAATATTGTTTGGCTTTTAGCGAATAAGTAAATCCGATCGCATGTAATAGCTCTACACCGTAAGATTCGGCTTTAAGTTCATCTGCTTCACTTTCAATTAAATCTCTGAATTCTTCAGCAGAATTATTATTATTTTCATATCCTTCAACATACAAAGATAATTTGTGTATTAAGTTTGCCACCAACTTATCGATACGTTGTTGCCGAATTGTTTCGCGCTCGTCTTCTTGGTTTACTTTGTTTGATTCTCGTTGTGCTTTTTCTTCTTCCGTAAGATCTTCCTCATCAATTGTATGTTGTAAAACTTCTTTCATGTCCCTGCCAATAGAAATTTCACCAATTATATCTACAAAACGGTCGCCACCGAATTGTTGTTTAAAGAAATCTTCCGGATTTACTATATAAGATAAATGTGACTTTAATTTGTTTATAATCTAATTAATTCAAATAATTTATTTATAAAATATAGATTATTTACCAAAACCACCCTCTGGTTCGATATCATTTTTTTTACCAAATTCATTATACTTTCTCCTTAATTCAGGGTTAGACAGTACTTGATATGCATCTGATATTTTTTTGAACTAAAAAAAAAAAATTTTTTTAAAGAATTAAAGTTATATGAATCAAATTTCTTATATCCTTGAAAATTAAGTATATAATTTTTTATTTTTAATTTTACCCGTTGTTCTGCGTCAGGTGCTTTGTTTTTATCTGGATGGAATTGTAGTGCAAGTTTATAATATTGTTTTTTGATTTCACTACTGGAAGCAGTTGGTGATACTCCAAGCACTTCGTAATATTCTGTTTCTAAAGGTTCTTGAGCTATTAATTCAAATAAATAAATAAATAAATATATTTATATATTTGTGTTTTATTAAATAAATTCTATATAATTATTTATTTCCAGAAATTATTTTTACCTGTTCCAAGTCTTCTCGATTTTTTAGAACCACTTCCAATATTCGAGTTTGTGGTTGTCCCGTTGGTAAACTCAGAACTTATATCGAAAGTGGTTTTTTGTTTGCAAGAATAGCATTCAACATTAACTATATTTATGGGTGTAGTGGGAATCCGAAATTCAACTTTCCTTTTACAGTAACTACATGATCCATGAAAATATTCTGGTTTACGTGAAGCGATTAGAGAGGTAACCATTTTATTTATTTTTGAATTATAAAAATAGTTGAGTAAAAATCAACTTTCATAATATATATTTAACTGGTATAAGCTGCGCCATCACATTTCACATCGTACATCATTCACGTGGGTGAAATAGATCCAAAACTGGATCGATCTTTGTACAATATCTTTTTTAAACATTAGATGTCGCTTACACCACGTACCGGACAACTTGTAAAGAATCAAAAACCAGAACAGACGAACAATGCTTTAGTCATTGATTCTGGAGCTAGCGGAGGCGTCGTCCAAATAGTTCGTATCTTCGTATTTTCATCTTACTTTTTTTTTTTTTTTAGATCTATGTCGGTTATCGCAACGTTTTCTTTCAAAATAATAAATAGGTTAAGCGCACATCGGGACTTCAAGCACCTATAATGCTTCTTAATGGACATCAGGTGTGAGGTTGTCATCTTTGATTCAAGATCAGATCATGCGAATATTTATTTCTCTAGTCGCTTATTAAAACCTTGGTTTTTTTTTTCTTTAGGGAGAAATATTCACCATTAGATTCAACCCTTCAGGACAACACATTGCTTCGGGATCATTTGATAGAAACATTTGTATGCATTTATCTAATATTTTAATATTTTAATATTTTTTTTATTTATTTTTTAAGTTTGTCAAATGTTCAATGATTGACGAAAACATTAATCATTTACTGAATTTCAATTTTAGTATTATGGAATACTTATGGCGATTGTCAGAATTATGGATTATTGAAGGGTCATAATGGGGCTATCATGGAATTACAATGGTCAAGGGATTCTAGGTACTTACTGAAAAAATTAAATAAATTTAAAATCAAAAAAATTAAATTAATTTAAAATTAATTAAATTAAATTAATTAAATTAAATTCTCTATTTTCTCTTTCTCTTTGTAATTTTAGTAAAATTTTTTCGTGTGCCACAGACAAAACTATTGGTGTATGGGATGTAGTTACGGGTACGAGAATAAAGAAATTCAAAGGACACACATCATTTGTCAATAGCGTGTGTGCAGCACGTAGAGGAAATGAAATTCTGGTTAGTGGAAGTGATGACGGAACAATTAAGGTAAAAATTAATCATTTCTTTTAATTATTATTATTTTTTTTTTTTATTACAATGTCACATTATCGAATTGTCAAATATCATAGATATCTCAAATTTCACAAAAATCACAAATATAGATATGGGATTTACGTCAGAAAGAAGCAGTGGAAACATTTAATCATCAATATCAAATTACTTCAGTATGTTTTAGTGAAGCTGGAGATATGGTTTTTGCAAGTAGCTTAGACAATGATATCTCGGTAAGTTTTATGAAATTATTGATCACGGGCATATGATACCTCCTGGCAAATAATTCAAATAATTCAAAACTTAAATTTTTAAATATCTGTAGTATATCATAAATAAATTCAAACTTTATAGCATTTACCTCCTTTTATTCTTTGTAAAGTACCCCAAATCTTTAATGATATAGGATATTCATAATACTTATAATACTTGATTAATAATATCTTTTATTACATTTTTATAACACCTTTATAACATTTTTTACAATATTCTTTAGGTTTGGGATTTAAGAAAGAAAGTTATTTCATACGTTCTTAAAGGACATCAAGATACAATTTCAGGTATGAAATTGAGTCCAGATGGATCATATTTGCTGTCTAATGGCATGGATGACACAGGTGTGTTATTTAATTATTTAATGATAATTATGATAATTATGATAATTATGATAATTATATATGTTATAAATGATTAATATGTAATATTGAATATAAAATAAGTACGAATTTGGGATGTAAAACCATTTTCACCTGGGAATAGGCTTCTAAAGATATTTGAAGGTAATGAGATATTTTTTTCCTAGTTTTATAACATAAATGATAAAAAATTTATTAATATAAATTATTTCTCAGGTGCTCCACATGGATTTGAAAAAAACCTTATTAAGCCTGCATGGTCTTCTGATGGATCTCAAATAGCGGCGGGAAGTAGTGATCGAACGGTAGTCATTTGGGATGTTTCATCTCGCAGAATTCTCTATAAATTGCCTGGACATAAAGGATCTGTCAATGAAGTTGATTTTCATCCAAAGGAACCTATTAGTAAGTACATAATCATTATAATAATAATCATAACAAATATAATAATATAATAATAATAATAATAATAATAAATTTTATTTATTTTTATTTTATTTTTATCTTAGTTGCATCATGCAGTACAGATCGAAATATATTTTTGGGTGAAATTATTCCAAACAATTAGAATTAGTGATTCACGTGAATTAGTCAAATATTAAATCGGGAATTAATAAATCTTTATAATTTGATAATCTAGAAACTTTACTAAATTAGTATTAATTCTTTAAAAGGTAATAAAACATTTGTTTAATAAATATCATAAAATATTTATTGCAGTTCTATCTTTCATACAATAAGTCCACGCAGCATAAAAGTGCAGAAACCGAGAAACCGTACACAGCCCTAAATATTCCATATATTTTTTTTTCAAACTTTTGTACTTTCCATACTCTTTCGTTTTCCTATCTTAACATTCCATGAAATATTGAAAAGCTTTAGAAATGAAATTTAGCACTGGTCTTTCATACCATAATCTACCATTGTTTGAGGTCTCACTTGTCTCAACGTCAAGAAGAAATAAAAACTATTTTACACCAGAAAGAGAAGAGATACTTAATACAACAACAAAAACAGTCCATAAAGTAAATCTTCCTTTATCACATCACCACCATTTACCAAAATCCTCGACAAATGCAACCAATATAGCCTACTTGTCAATAGAATAGACGAAAACCATTGAACATAATAATAATAATAATAATAATTTTTAAAAATAATGAAAGGTATATTTGTAAGAGGTGGTACAGGATACATTTGCAGTCATATTGTTGTGAAACTTTTAAAAGATGGGTATAATGTAATAATAGTAATAGATAACTTGACGAATGCCTGTGAAGGTTTATATTTTTAATTAATTAAAGAATTTTAAAAAGAATTAAAAGAATTGAACGAATTAAAAAGAAATCAGAGAATTAAAAGAGTCAAAAGCATCGATGATAATAACAAAATTTATTATTTTTATTTATTATACATTATTAGAATAATTGGTTCGAATTCAAAAACTTGGCACTTGACCATTAAAGTTTTATCACGCTAATATATTGGATGAAAAAAAATACTAACTAAAATATTTGAAAAATATAATATATGGGTTGTATTACATTTCGCGGCACTTAAAGCAATTGGCGAGTCAACTAAAATTCCTCTTGAATATTATTATTGAAATAAAGTGACTGGATCACTTAATTTATTTAGAATAATGGGTTTAAAATATTTTATTCTTCAGTAGTATCACAGTATATGACAGTATTTCAGTAAATAAGGTAATTGATGAATTACTTAATAAATAATTTAATAAATCTAATAAATAAATTTATATTTCAATTCCACAGTGCTCATCCCTCTGGTATTATTGGAGAATCCTCGAGGTATTCCAAATAATTTGATGTCTTATGTTAATCAAGTTGTTCAAGGTCGATTACCCTTTGTTAATATCTATGGAAATGATACTGCTGATGGAACAGGTCTGTACTTATTTTTAAAAACAAAAAAAAAAAAGATTGAGATTGCATTCGTTATTTATTTATAATTCTGTTTTAATTATAGTAGGGAGTTCGCGATTATATTCATGTCTGTGATTTTAACAACAAGTCACGTAGCTGCACTTCGAAAACTAAAAACGAAACCAGGATGTGTGGCTTATAATCTTGTTACAGGAGTTGGATATTCAGTGCTTCAAATCATAAAAGCAATGTCACGAGCATGTGTGTTGGAATAGTTACAGTTGATGCAAGTCTAGCAAATATAGAATTGGATTGGTATCCCAAATACAGTTTGGATCAAATGTGTTAGGGATATCCGGAACCAATTATTGATACGAAAAATAAAAAGTTACAAGAAATGACGTCTTAATATTTATTTAAAACAGAAAATTTATAACATATATAGGCTAATTGTGATATATATATATATATTCTTTAAATCTCTGTAATTTGATTTTTTTTTAAAAAGAAAACTATATTTATTTATTTATTTATTTATTTATTTATTTTAGATTTTAGATTCTTTAGATTATAATAACAGAGATATGTATATATAATTTTTCGTAACCTCTTGATTAATTTATTTATATATGTATAATGATTAATAAACTTAAATAATAATTAAACTTAATATAATAATAATTATAATAATTAAATAAATTTAACTATAATAATAATAATTAAACTTAATATAATTATAATAATTAATAAACTTAATATTATTTATATTATTTATAATTTGCTTTATTACATATTGTCTCGTTGTCACATTATAAACGGATCCCATAGTAAGTTAATATTCGTCATTTTTGTAGTACAACACAAAAATTATCTTTACCATTATTGGTTAATAATAATTTACTAGAATAAGCAAGTTCATTTATGCATCATTCAATACCTCTCACAAAAGTATCACAAGTGTTCAGTCAGATGATATGTGTGACGGTATTTTATTACAGGCAAGTAATACTAGTAATACTTCGCAACCAACCATCTGTGTTTGGTTTCTATAAAGACTTGCGAAACATTATTTGTTTATCGGTTTTCTCCATTCCATCTTTATCCCTCTCACCTACGTATTCCCAGTACCCGTCCCACAATAATTTTTTGAACGTCTTTATTTAGCGAATCACTATGATCGAAACACGCGAAGATTACGTTTACCTCGCTAAGCTCGCTGAACAGGCCGAGCGTTATGAAGGTGAGGGTTGGTGAAACCTGTGAAACACACAACCGGTATCATCTTTGCTCACCTCTTTATGCGTGTAATTCTTCGATGTCTTACGGGCATTTGTGAACTCTCTCATTTTGTGGTGCTTCACTTTTAAAAACTTGAAAAATATTATCATAAACAAGTTTATCAAGATAAGAGACTGCGGCAAGAGTCATCTGTGTTTTATATAAACGAATGAATCTTTGAGAATTATATTTTACACCAGATTAATTAATTGACATTGGTTAATTGTCAATTAATTTGAATTTGGTGTTAAAAATAATCGTCACATTTCTATATTCTTATTTATTATTATGTTGTTTTTTTTTTGTTTTTTTATTTTATTTGTTTATCATCATGATTCATCAATTCATCAAAGTGAGAGCAATTACAATGAGCACCGCCTATCTATCCATCTATTGAAATATATTATATAGATAGATAGATAAATAAATAGATAGAGAGAGATATATATATATGTATATATATATGTATATTATTATTATTATTATTATTATTTAATTTATCATCATTTTAACTTTAATATCGTACTATATCTCAGAAATGGTAGAAAATATGAAAAAAGTCGCATCTGCCGATCAAGAGCTTACTGTTGAAGAGCGAAATCTCTTATCTGTTGCTTACAAAAACGTAATTGGTGCACGAAGAGCTTCTTGGCGTATTGTTTCCTCGATCGAACAAAAAGAAGAAACCAAAGGCAATGAAGTTCAAGTTGGTTTCATTAAAGAATATCGTTCAAAGATCGAAGAGGAATTGACAAAGATATGTGATGATATTTTGGAAGTACTAGACAATCATCTAATTCCATCTGCAGCAACGGGTGAATCTAAAGTATTTTATCACAAAATGTAGGTTACGCGAAACAAATATTTAAAATATTTTAAAGATATTTTTTAAATATTGTCATAATTTATAGAAAATTTATTGAAATTTTTATTGATAATATTTATTTATGACAATAATTAGGAAGGGTGATTATCACCGATATCTTGCTGAATTTGCAACTGGAGAAAGACGAAATTTATCTGCAGATAAATCTTTGGATGCGTATAAAGCTGCTAGTGATGTGGCAGTCACTGAACTTGCACCAACTCATCCAATTCGATTGGGATTGGCCCTGAATTTCTCTGTATTCTATTATGAAATTTTGAATTCTCCTGATCGGGCCTGTCATTTAGCCAAGCAAGCCTTCGATGATGCAATTGCAGAATTAGATACTCTTAGTGAAGAAAGCTACAAGGATTCGACGTTAATCATGCAATTATTGAGGGATAATTTGACACTTTGGACATCAGACATGCAAGGTAAATTTAAAGAAATTAAATTAAATTAAATTAAATTATTTTAAATTATTTTAAATTAAAATAATTAATTTATTAAAATAATTTTTTCTTGTAATTAGATGATAAACCCGAAGCTACTAAAGAAGATGAACCCACCGAAACAAAAGAAGAAGCTTAAAGTTATTTATATCACATTTTTCATACATATTCAACATTATTAATATTCATATATAGTTCATTCCTTTATGTCAAACCAGATTCTGGTATTTACAAGCAAAAGTGTTAAATATAAGAATTTATATACATTTACATAATGGAGTCAATTACTTTTTTTTCATTTTTATTACTCTTTTTTTTTTTTTTTTTTTTTTTTGTTTATTTTTATTTTTTCATTTTCTTTAACTCAGATGTGGATTCATATAGAAAGCATTTGTAGAAATCTGGGTTGACTTATTATAAACAATTTTTTTTATATTAGGGTGATGGGAAAATATTTAGTAGGTGTTGAGGAGAGTAGTTGGTTGTTAACTCTTCATTAGGATCTTTGACTTGTTCCCCCAATGATTTTATTCCTTCTATCATTAAAAATCATTAAAATGCAATAAAAAAAATGAATCAGGTCATAATTTATCTGAATATTATCATTTGAAAATATAACAAAATGTTTACAAATAAACAAAATTAAGATAAATTCAGAGTAAATAAATATTTTCAAAGAAATTTGATGTATTTTTATTATATTATTATTATATTCCAGTAAGTATAGTACATGTTACAAAAAAAAAAAAAATACAAAAATAGTTTTATAATAAACTTTGAAGTAGACATTTCAGTCAATATCTTTTTTTATTTGTATAAAAGAAAATACTGTTTTGAAATTGATAACCAAAATATAGATAAATTGTATAAATTGGTTGATTATAATATTGGATATTAAAAAAATTATTATCATTAATTGAATTTAAAAATAAACAAAATTTTTTATAATTATAGATAGATATTTCTTTAGCATTAGATCAAACTAAAGAAATTCAATAAATCAGTTATTAAATGAATAATATTAGATGGTATAAATAAATGGAGGAGGAGGAAGAATAGATTTAGATATATATTATAGAAACAGAATAAAAATATGGAAAGTATGAAAATATGAAAAAAGATGTGGTTATTGAGGTATGGAATGTTTAAAAATACTCTTATAAACAAGAATTAAAAGAATAAATATTTATGAGGACATTCTGTTTCATAAATTATAAATCTCTCGTGACCCGAATGTGACTTGAGGAACTTTTCATTAATTAGGTTGTAAGCCCTTAGGACAATCCTTAGACTAAAAAAAGATTATGAAAATATAATATAATTGGTTAATTATTATTTCGAATAAAACAATATTTTGTAAATAAAATTATTTATAATTATTTTAAAATCATCTTACAATGTGACCACGTTCACTACAGCGGTAACATGTCTTGACTGATTTATCAACTGGACCTTGTGAACAGTCACGAGACTAAATGTATTTTACGAGACGCGTGTAAGTAAATTATAAATTATAAATTATAAAAAAAAAAAAAAAAAAAAAAAGAGGAAATATTTAAAGAAATCTAATTATGGGTACTCACAATGTGCCCAAAACGGCCGCAATTGTAACACTTAACACCATTTGCTTGACAATCTCGAGCATAATGATTGAATCCACCACATTTATAACAAATAATACGACCATATCCACCACCACGACCTTTTGAACAATTACGTGCCAAATGACCCTAATAATCAATTAAATCAATTTAATCAATTTAATCAATTATTAATTTAATAAGTCTAATAAATTACAAGAATGATTTATGAATAAAAAGAATTTAGTTTTAATTAAAATATAAACGACTTACAAAACGACCACAACTGTAACAACGTCCATTTCCACTACCATTCCCACGTACGGAGGGGCAGTCAGCTTGAAGGTGACCAACTATTTATAAAAATAATAAATAATTATAATTAGAATTATTCCCCTAAAATAAAACCAATGAAAAAGAGATATTTTTGACTCTTATGACTTATCATATAGACTATTAAATCATCTACCTACCACCACCACAAGAGTAGCATTGCTTAGAGTCCGCGGTTCTAGGTTGAGGGCACTGGTTAGCCTCATGCCCTGGTTGCTTGCAATTATAACATAACCTTTGAGGTTCAGGGCAAGAATCGGCAAAATGCCCAACTAAATTTCAAAAAAGTTTTTTTTTTTTTAAAAAAAATGAGTTGATACACATTAATCTTTGCACATTAATAAATCCTGTAGTTTGATTTATGATGATGAGCATCCGAAACTTTTCTTATTTTCCTCCTCCTCCATATTAAAAATTTCTATAGTTAGTTAATTTAAAAAATTAAATTTACTAACCATTGCCACACTTAAAGCAACCTCTTCTAGTAAAAGACATTTTTTATTCAACCAAAAATTCTGATTTACTTTTAGATTAAAAAATGAAAAATAGTTTTTGATTAGAGGGATGGACTTCTTCCTGGTGACTGCTACCCCTTCGTCTACAACTTTAGTGATCAACTAATCAACAACAACTACTGCTTCCGCCTTAGGTAAAAAATGATAATATTCGAAAGTAGTAGTTGAAGAACTGTTGTTATAAAAAAAAATAATGAATATAGTCATGATTATCTGTCACTTTTTAAATAATTTGTTAATGAAAATTTGATTGGTCATTGATATATCCCATCATATATATATTTTAACTTTTTGACTTTAAAAACATTCATTAAAAGTCATTAAAAGTTTACACAATTGTGTGAATGAACAAGAAAAAAAAAACTTTATTTATTTAAAATAAAAAAATCCCATTCCATTTTGACAATCCTTTGAATCAATTGATAATATTAATTTATAATTGCATATTTGAAAATGATTCAATGGTGACTAATCTCTTTAATTCTGAACTAATCTCCGAAATTGTATCGTGATTTGAATTAAATTGAGTGCTAGATTGAAATGATGTTTCTCCTTGTAAGTTCATAATTTTACGTCGTTTTTCACCAATAAGTGGCGATACTGCTCTTGTTGGTTTCCTTTTTGAAGGTCGAATATTTACTGATGTAAAATGTTTAATTGGTTGAGCACGATGTACTAATTCCGTTCGCAATTGACGTATTTTCTCGGCTTCTCTTATCTAATAATAATAATAATAATAATAATAATAATAAGTAATTTATATATTTATATAACTTAATTTAGTTCACCCAAAAACTTAAACCTATAAACGCACGCGTACCTCGTCTTCCTTTCGTTTTTGTTCTCTAAGTACTTCAGCAATTGAATCTCTTATCTTCCTTTGTTCATCAAATGCCTTACGTTCCAACATACGAACACCAGTGTTAAAGATAAATTCAACTGGTTTTGTTGGTGGTGGAATTACAAGTTTCTTTGGAATTGGTGGTTCAAAATTCGGAAGTGGTGTCGCATGAAATCTATTTTCCTTTTCAATTTCGTTTAATTTTCTTAAACGTTCACGAAAAGATTGTTGATACTTATCGCCACGATTATCTGTTTCCAATACAAATGGCTTTGGATAAGTTAATGCATAATAGTGACGTGGAGGTAAATCATCAGGAGAATCACTTGGAAGTGGTTGTGCTTTGAATTTACGCGCATTATCCATTTCATCTCTTTCTCTAAACATTTTCTCTTGAATTTCTTTAATCTTTCGTTTATGGATTTCATCACCAGGTAATGAAAAATTTGGTAATTCCATTTTTCGGTGCTCGATTAAAGGCATAAATGGGTCTTTGAAATCAGGTATAGGATGATAAAACTTAATTTTGGGTAATGAACTAGTAAATCTTTGTTTTGGTGGTTCAATATTAGTTATCGCTGGTGATAATGGCTTTCTAGGTTCGGACTTTACAATTTTTGATACACCTAATTCTTTAACTTCAAAGATCTTTGATACAAATTCAGTAACTTTATTAACTAAAATATATATTAATATATTAATTTTTTAATAATACGTATCAAAATAAAATACTTTTGTGTTTATCGGTTTTGCCACAAATTTATACTGTTCCATTTCAAGTATTTCTTGTTCTTCCATCGGCAAAAACCTTGGAAAGAAAAAAAAAAAAAGGATTAAGAAAGAATCTTATAAATAATTATAAAGATAAATAAACTACTTACTTAGAAGGTTTAACCCTACTTTTGGTGCGTAATTTTGGCGATTTTGGCACAGTTAAATTTGTCTAAAAAATAAACGCGTCAATTATTTACTGACGAGACCTTAAATATATTTACTAAATTCAAACCTTCATGTTAATGCTTCCGATTTTTTTTTTTTTCAAGTGAAAATATTCTAAACTTTTGTTTTTATATAAGACACCTTGTTTAAACTTTCCAATCTGAATTATAAAACAAAATCGCGTAAAAATAACCGATATATAAATCATGTGACTTAATTTTGATCAACGATAATTCCGTAATTTTGGACCAAAATTTGAGACATTTGACTTTGGTCAGTTCAGTCTAACCAGTAAAGCTTTGACACGAAATCAAACACCAATCATTGATTAAGCTTACACTTCGCCAAAACAATTTATATAATTTTTATATTATTTAATTTATCGTTCAGTCTTTTTAGTTTAAAATGGCGATACCTATAGAAGAATGGTATTATGAAGTACCCATTATCACAAGAACATATGTAACAGCAGCATTCTTAACAAGTTTAGCGGTGGTATGAATATAAAAAAATATATATTTTTTTCGGTAATAAATAATTTTTTCAATAGAAAAAATACGAATTCTTTTAATCTTTTCGATTTAGCAAGTTGGTCTAGTTAATCCTTTTCAATTATATTTTAATTTTGATAAAATCTTTTATGACCGTCAGGTAAGAGACTTTAAAAAATCTCCGCGTAACGTGCTATGACACATTTTGTAAAAAAAAACTAATAAAATTTTAATGAAATTCATGTTTCTAGTATTGGCGGCTGGTCACAAATTTTCTATATTTTGGCCCATTTTCACTTGATTTTTTATATCATATGTTTTTCTTGTATCCTTAAATATGATTAAAATATAATTTTTATATAATTAATAATGAAATAATTTAAATTATCTAAATTTATCTTTAAATTTATCATTAACTATATGATTTTTTTTAATAGAACACGATATAGTCGTATGTTAGAAGAAGGATCATTTAGAGGGAGAACGGCGGACTATTTTTGGTTATTGTTTCTATCAGCATTCGCTTTAATAGTGAGAGAAGTTTTAATTCAATTTTAACAGAATAATTATCAAATCAAATTAATAAATTGACTAAAATATATTAATCAATTAAAAACTTTTTGATTTTAGCTTCTATCACCACTTTCAAATATGCCATTCTTGGGATCACCATTAGCATTTGCATTAGTATATATATGGTCACGAAGGAATCCATTTATAAGGTTGAACTTTGTGGGTCTATTTGTATTTAGTGCACCATTTCTTCCATGGGTTTTACTTGGATTTTCTTTATTATTGAACAATGTATTTCCTACTGGAGATATGATGGGAATTGCTGTGGGTCATGTTTATTATTTCTTTGAGGATGTATGGCCAAATGAAAGAAATAGTGGAGGACGAAGATGGTTAAAAACACCACAAATAATGTATGTTAGTAAGTTATTGTTTTTTAAAAAAAAATTAATTAATTAGTAGGAGATTTTTATAATTTTATTTATTTTTATTTTTTAAAAAAAAGAGTTCGAATGTTTGAAGGTATTCAGAATGATCCTCGAACAGAACCAATTGCAGTTGACGCCGCAGAACCAATAGCTAATCCTCCAGCAAATCCTAATCCAGATGTAGTTCATTTAGAATAATAATAATAGAAATAATAATAAAATGTAATAATAATAATAAAATAACAACAACAACAATAATAATAACGTCAACAATATCAGGCAATGATAATAAAATCAGTTAGTAATAAAGTTAATGTATAAAGTTTTGATAACATTATACCAAGTGTCATTTCATTTTATAGTATTTTATAGTTAAAATTTTTATTTATTAGAATGCTTTTTATAATATAATGTAATCAAAATAATCAAAATAATCAAAAAAATTCTTAATTTTTTTGAAATTGATAAAAATAATTAATTTATAAACATTAATATGTATTAATATGTATTTATAAATCATTATATCATATCAAAAGTATAATATAATCTAATAACAATGTTTAATCAAATAATACTTTATGTTACAAAATTGTCCCGGTTTTCTTATTTTACCTGTGTTAAATTATTCTCTTTCCATGTTTTATAATGAAAAATATTTCTGTAAATTTTCTCACATACATATTACGATTATTACGATTATTACGATTATTACGATTAAACAACCAAATTAAGAGGAATGCATTTCATAGTTAAAATTTTCATATACAATCAAGCTTTTCTATAATCATATTAAATATTTGTCATTTCATTTTATTATAAAATATATGAAATTGGTTCACAATTCACTCACGAGAAAGGTGGTTGGTTTATTATCCATTTCTTAATTTTGCGAAACATATTTGCTCAATCGCTTAACAGAGATGCAGTATAATTGGATAAATAAAAATATTACACAAGATTCTTTATTTTTCCGTGATCTACAGTTTGTACATGTGATTTCGCGTCCTTGATCAAATTTCAGGATAAAAAGTGTTTATGCTTTCTCCAAGACCATATGCAATTATGTAAAAAAATATTATATAATATTTAATTCAAATCTTACGTAAAAAGAATATTCGGGACAAAATTATTATAATATCTTATAAAGTATAGTGTATGCGTGTATAAAGTTAAATATGATTTATTCTTTATTCAATTTTCGTTTAAATCAAATCAAATTTGAATCAATAGATCTATTGATTAATTAATTATTAATTAATTCTTCGTTTTACAATATTACTAATAATTTCAATGTGAACAGATTGGTTAAAAAAAGTCCTATTTAATCAAAGAAAAGTGATCTTATCGTTATCAATTTTCATTATAATGAATCCAGTTATATCACTGTGTGCGTATTCTTTTAAAAGAATAATTAATTCTCTATGCATCAATAACCTACGAATCAATCAAAAACATAACCCATGCATCAATAATAAGTTTTTATTGATGCAATGGAAAATTCGCCATATATGGTATATTTCTAATCGTAAAAGAACATGGGTAAATTTATTCCATATTAGGAAATTTTCAAGTCTGAATCCTAATTTTTGTACAATTTCATTGCATATTGATATTATAGAGATAATAGATTGATCATTATCATTTCTATTATTGATACAAATTTTATAGATTTTTATAAATAATCGCTTGCGGTTTGCTTTTCGATATATAACGACATTACGATAGGTTTGGACTAGGAAAGGAAATTTTATTATAATAAAAAAAAAAAAACGAGGGTAATCATTCATGATGCCCATTCTTGGCATGATTTACAATATACAGATTACATAAATATTATATAATCGAAATCTTTAAGACGTTTTATTCGGTTTTCAACCTTGTTTTAGCATATTTACTTTTTTTCTGGGGGTGGAAATCTTTGTGTGATGAAATCTGTTGTGTAGTGGGTACGTTATTTCAGTGTCTTTATGTCTTCTGTCTTGTTTCATCTATTGCGTCTTGTGTGAAAATAATATTGTGGGGTAAAAGAGAATATCAGTGTAACCAAATATTAAATATTATTCAATGTTATTAAGCATGCACAACATAAATTTAAACACCCACGTTTATTGTACATGCATTATACATAGGCATTATCTTGGTTCTAAAGGCAATATAATATGCGTTTATGCGTGGGAAAAAAATTGAAAAATACAAAAATAGAAATATTAATTCTATTTGACAAATTTACCATTCAAAAATGTTTGAATTTGTTAATTGCGTTAAATTAAATCATGATTAACTTTACATTATTTGATTGACTTCAACTCAATAAAAAGTGATCTACAGCATAGTATATGACTATATACCCATAATGGAATAAAATAGAATAAAATTATTCAACAAGTCATTAATGCGTATATCTAAGGGAGAGGTGTATTTGTTTGAATAATTTTGTAAACTACATTACATTTATTTTATTTTTTTTTTATTTCCTTTTTTTGGATACATAAATATATGAAAGATATGAAAGACATGAAAAAAAGGAAAGATAAAGAAATGAGACAAAGACATTATTATCTAGAGCAATCTAGGCCATATTCATTAAAAAAAAATTCCATATTAAGAGTTAAAGTTTTGATCGATCATGGAGTTTAAAGGAGTTAAGGCTAATGTTGAATAGGGAATATGCAATTTTGGTAAGTTGACATTAAGATTATTATTCATTTCATCAAATATATTATAATGGATATTAGACATATAAGACCCTTGAACACAGAAAGATTGTCCAATTATCATTGTAATCGAATAAACCAATGATTAACGATTAATAAAATTCCGAGAAACAATTTTTTTTTTTTGTAATTAAATCAAATATCTTTGTTTATGTTATGTAACCAGTATTTAAAATATTAAACATGTCTTTTTTATTAGTGTACCATTTTATTAAATTGATAATAAGTAAAAGGGAAATTGACCGAGAGAGCCAATTTGTAATGATTACGTGATAATTTGAATAATAAAGTTTGTAAATAAAGTTTTTGTCTAACCAAAATATTTGACTCTAAAAATTCATCATCGATTTCATAAAAATAGTAGTAAATTACGTAAATCAATGATAACCCTCTAGAATGTTTCCCGGGTTTTTCTTTTAATTATTTTATTTACGCCTGATATATTAAAGCTAAAAATGATGCATATAATGCACCACTAAAGTTAAATTAAAGATATTACTTTATTTAGATATTTTTACATTCATTCTTGCGTTAAATAAATATTTAATATATATTTAATATATGTAATATAGAGCACTTAACTACAAAAGGAAATATATAATAGTCATACAATTGCTGACATTACGTTAAATAATAATAACGGAAGTATTACGCAACGTTATGAGTAATCCAGTGTACAAAAACATTTTATTAATTTTATTTATTATTTTATGGAATGTCATGTGATTGATAAAATCCCAAAAAGAAAATTGAAAAGTATACGGAAAATTTGTAATTATCAAAAGGTGAATATAGATTACTGTGATTTTATGTTCAATCTCTATTATCACATTCATAATATTCAGGGGTTATCAGTAATATTTAAAAATGATATTAAAAGATTCTTCAAACATAATTCATTACAATATATGTATATAAATAATTTAAATAAATTTTTATTAATAAATATCTTAAATTATCTTTTTGTCTATTATCATATGAAATATTATATACATATTCTATTCTATAAATAAATTGAAAAAAAATGATTATTTTTTTGTTTGTGATTGTGATTTAATTTTTTTTCATAAATAATTGTTTCTACTAGTGAAAAGAAAAAAATAAATAAATAAATAATAAAGAAAATTTAATTTAATTTCTAAAGAAATATCATGGAATGACTTATCATATTTTAAGAGTATATTACAAAAGGTAATTTTAAGTTATTGACGATGATGATGATGATGATGATGATGATGATTTTTAGCTACCCGTGAAGCTTTACTTACTATACTAACATAATTTATTTAACATCATATTTATTATTATCATCATTTCTGATATGATGATGCGCAGTTGCCATTAATTGGCTATTTTGAAGGAGGATGATTTAAAGTATGAATTGATGGTAATACAATTCCTTGTTGTTCGTTAATTATTCTAACTGGTGGTAATATAGGAGTCAACGTAGGAGTCAATGCAGAATTACGAGGTAATAATGAAGTGTCAATTGTTGGAGTCACGTTATTATATCGAAAACGTTTTGTTGGTCTATTGCTACTTCCGCTATTATTGATGTTGCTGCAGACAGATCGCAGTGGTAATGTTCGAATACTTGATTTCGAACCACGTCGACTTTTTGATGATAAATGTGTACGAAAATGTTGCATCATATTATCCTGTCGAGAAAATTTTGAGGTACAACCAGGCATTAAACATGGAAAATTTTTTTCCCCTGTATGTATCCGATTATGGCGCGCTAAATGGCCACTAATGATAAATTAAAAGTGGAAATATTATATGTTAGAATATATGATGAAAATGTATGTCTGAATAAGAGATTTATATAATTTATAAATATAATCTATAAATAGGTGTGTAAATCGAATAAAGTATATGCACATATATAAAGTTATAAACAACCAATCAAATAAATGAAGTGACAAATGGGAAAACAAAGTGACACCAAAATAAGAACGCAAGCACCAAAAAAGTTAAATAGGAAATAAAATATATTTACCTTGTAGTAAAATTCTTACCACACTCTGGGTACGAACAAATATATTTACGTTTATTGGGTGTATTTGTAATTTTATTAGATATACGTTGTTTATTATCATTATTTTTATTTTTATTATGAGAATTATGTCGTTTAATATTGGTAATCCCATCAGAATATTTAATAAATAATTTACGTTCATCGTTGGATAAATCTTCATCTGAACTTTCTGTTAAAGGAGGAGATAACAAATTATCGTTGTCATCGTCATTCAATAGGTTAACAATGACTCCATCGGATTTTTTTATCAATAATGGAGAACTAATTTTTCGTTTTACTGAACGAAATTCATGAGGTGGTGTTAAAGGGGGAGTGGGTCCCGGTTTTCTATATTTTCTTTGTGATTCGGTTGCCGATGGTGAAAATTGTGGTTGATTATAATGTGATAACGGTGATGACGACGGCATTGACATAGGTAATATAGAAGAAGAGGAAAATGAATCCTGTGGATTCATTATTTCTTTATATTGTATATTAGATAAAGGCGACTTAATTGGATAATAATCACCTTTCGAAGAATGTTGATTATAATAAGATGAATATTGTTGTTCTTTATTATAGAATGGTGGAACAAAAGGTAATTGAAGAGATGGTTCTGACAACATAGAGAAATTGGATCGTTCTTGTTCAATTTGTGTTTGATGATAATTTAATTGATGATATTTAGAAACCTCGATAGGTGAACGAAAAAAAGAATTATTTTGGTGTTGGCAATCCATCGTAAAGAAAATGAAATAAAAAGAATATTGAACAACTATTATAGTAGTTATTATAGTAGTTGTTATAGTTTGTTATAGTTTGTTATAGTTTTTTATGATGATTTTTTATAATTTTTTATAAGCAAAGGAAATAATAGGAAAATTATAGCAAATTATAAAAAAAATTATAGCAATAAAAAAATGAAGAACGAAGAATGCAATCTTTATTTATAGAATAAATAAATAAGAAATTAAAAATCATAAGAGATCGAAAATTTGGAGATGAATAGCTATTTATGGAAAAAGGTAAATTTAAGGAGTATTTGGTAAATAAGTTAAACAAGTGACCCTGGATTGTCGTCGAATGTAAAAGGTCAATATAAATGCGGTAATATTTGAACAAAAAAATAATATATTTGATGGTAAATGAAATAAATAAATTAAATTAAATAATATTGTGAGAGAAAACGATAATGTTCAAAGCTTAACCCCCAGGGAAAACAAAAAAGATCAATAATTACTATATAAATATTTCATAAAAGTACAAATTAAATAAAATAAATTAATTAAATAAATAAGTTTATATAGTTTGCAGAGAGAAGGTAAAATTACAAATGGATCAAAAAATAATAAAATAATAAAAAGAATGAGAATCGTTGATAAGGTAAAAATAAGAGAAATAACAATAATTATTACTAATTAAAGTCGAGATCCAAAAAGAAAAAAATTTATATATTCATTCACAATTTTTCTCTCATGTAAAAAATTATTTTAAAATTAACAGTTTAGAAGGGAAAGATAGATAACTTGATCGTTGAAAGCAATAATTTATTCGGAAATTAATAAATGCAAAAAAAAAAATAACAAAGATAGATTGAAAAAGGGTTAAAAAATTTTCTTCAACGAGCTGTGTATTTATATTATATCAATTGTATTATATAATAAAATATATTAATTACATAAATCAATTCTATAAACTAAAATAGCTAACCAAATTAATCAATGTATTTTACCGAAAATATATTCAGGTTATTTTGTACTAATTATTTCCCCCCGTATATAAAAATTAAAATGTTCATTGACTTTATAAAAAGTTCGAAATTCTTATTATATATTTGTTTAAAAAAGAGTAATTATTTAACTTATTTGTAGTTGATAATCGTCTGAAAGAATGTGAAAATAATTAATAATTTAAAACTTTATTTCGTTTTTGTACTTAATAATATACAATAAATATTTTATAATACAATAACATTTTATAATACAATAAATATTTTTATATTTTGATATAATGTAAAGTAAAATAAAATATATTTATTATTACAAATTTATTTTATTAAGACTTGAAAAATGTATACAATAAATCATTTTATGCAATCATTTTGCTTAGTTTTAAAAACATATACAATAAAAAAAAATTATTTTTAAATGCAATTCAAAGTGTAAAATAAATATTGCTAAAAAAAAAAAAAGTGTTCAATCTATTCACACTAGATGAAGAAAACTAGGACAAACAGACAGGTAACAAATTTATAAATAGAATTAAATAAGATAATCAATACAATTTATTATATGGGATATGTGACATAATATTATGTAACCTATGTAACCTTACATAATTTTATATAATATAATGTGTGTTGGACATTGAAAAATAAATAAGTTTTCCTTTTTTTTTTGAACAACTTAATTATATAGGTATACTTTATTTAGTAGTCCAATTAAATGAATTAAAGATTACACCAAAATGAAACACATTATTTCATTACATTAAAAATATTGTATTCTATTCACCTGTTTCTGTCTGACTTATACCTGCCACCCAAATTCAAAATCCAAATGCCGAAATCCCAAATGCCGAAATCCCAAATCCCAAATCCCAAATTATGATTAGTATTTTTTGCCGAAATCCCAAATCCCAAATCCCAAATACTAGTAATTTGGAATTTTGGCGTCCCAAATCCCAAATGATTTGGGATTTGGGCAACACGTATAGTCTGACTTAGGTCTCTAGATGTAAATTTGTTTCTTGACTACTCAAGTGTAGAATAAAAATCCATTTGACTTAGATAAAAGAACTTGGGGTCTTAGAAAAAGAAGATCTAAAGTTCCAGGTAAATACCTATGCACAATTATAAAAATATTTCACATGACCATTATTGATCATATATATAAAATTTATAATTTAGAGTAATAGTGATTAGTATAAAAAATTTAGAACTAAATCAAAATGTAATTATAATATTATAGACAAGGTGATTATATATAGATCTAACTATATATATGTATAAAATAGTCTAAGATAAATTTTATATTAATATGCCAAAGGACTATTTTTTAAATACTGTAACATTTATAAACTCAAATCTAATCATGAATTAAAAAATTTAATTCTTAACTTTAAGTTTAAAAAAAATATTAAAGCTTCTCATGAGTTGAATTCTATAAAACTCAACTTGAGCCTAAATTCATTGATCAAAATTTGAAATATTAAATATCTATTAGGAATGATATCTGTCATGATTCAAAAAAGGAAATACAATTAATTACAACTTATAATGCAATTAGTTTGCAGCTGGTTGTAAATAATTGAATATAAATTAATATAAATGTTCTATTTATATTTATAAAATTTATAGGTTGTAAATTCCTATTTATAAATTAGAATAAGACTATACAAAACTTGTCATAAATTAAAATCCTATTCATAATAAAACTGGCATATTATTTTTCATTTGACCAGTGTATTATCACAAAACACAATTTTCACAATAACTAATAAAAACCTTTATTATAATAATAATAAAATATATGTAAAATAATTTTATATTAATATATGTTAAATAGTTTAAGACTAATTTTAAAATATTGTGATATTTATAAACCTGATTTGATTCTGAATAAAAACTATGACCTTTTAACCCTGTTGATAAAATATTGTAACTAGATATAATAAATTCAAAAATATCATTACTAGCTCAATTATTACATATCTGACTAATTAATTTTATACTGGTTAAATTAAAAGTTCAAAAAAATTAATTAAAGATTTAAAAATAGCTGGCACAATAATAATTACATAATAATAGTTAATTGGATTTTTTTAAAACCTTCAACCATGAACTTATACTTTATTAAACATATGAAAATACAAATTTAATGTTTCTAACAAATCAAATTGAATAAATTTTAATAAGGATTTATGTAAGTTTATGTGTATATGCAACTTACCATATTGAATATAGAATACCACTTACTCAATATCATCATATTATCATATTTTAAATAATATTTACTCCACAACATTATAAAGTGTTGTTTGTAATTTTTTATTGATATCTCCATCTACCAACTTTTTCAAAACCCCTATAATATTTCCAGTATTTATACAAAATTCTAGAGATTATGACTTGATTAAAAGCATAAATTATTATTATATAATATTGTGTAAATTTACACACAAAATATTACATAACACATTTCTAATAATGAAAAATTGACAAATTTTTGACATAAATCAGTTACAAATTAGGCCTGCTCATACTATGTATCTGTCTACCTATATATATCTACCTATTTGCAAATCCACCTCAAATCTTCTTACACTTATTTGACCAGCGTTGTGTAATTTCATCTGAAAATTTTTAAATTGCAAAATTTTGGTGTTTTCAAAAACCCCAGTAAGCAAGGGTTTTTAAAATTATATAGCCATTAGCTCGTGGAGGTTAATATTTTTGAAAATATTTCAAAATATTACTGGTTGAATAACAAAAAATAGGTAAAATTTTTTGGTATGAACAAATACAGGCCGATTTGCGGATCATTCAACACGTATAACTTGTGAATGTTAATTTTTTGAAAACATTTCAAAATATTATGTTCAATTAGTTTATAGAGATTAATATTTTTGAAAATATTTTGAAATATTATGATGTTTTCAAAAATGTTAACCTTCACAAGTTAATGGCCATAATATTTTGAAAACCTTTAAAACTGTCATCAGGAAAATTGATCTTATTTATGTATCATTCTCTCTTTTTTTTTATAATAGACTCTGGTATTAAGAGAAGAACTTGAGTTTCAATGTTAAAAAGTATATAGACAAGATTTACATTTCATGAATTTTTCTTCTGGTTCAGGTGTTGGAGGAAAAAAATTATAATACAAACTATAAATTTTACCTAAATTCAAATGATAAATCTCAAAATTCCAGGTTGTTATTATGTTGTTACGATCAATTGTTGTGATTAATTGTATTTTGATTTTGATTAATTGTAATTTTGATTAATTGTAATTAATTGTTCAAATTAAAATTAAAAAATTAATTAAAATTAAATAATTAAATAATTAAATAATTAAATTTTGGACGGTTGTCAATAATGAAAACAAATCATAATGAATTATAACGAATTTAGAAATTAGAATTAATTACAATATATGTATATTTCATTCGCGATGGTCGCGATTTATTGATCACGGTTAATCCATATCTGTATAATCCGATGTCGGTCATCATTAATGTTATCAATAAATGATATTAATATTATCATTAATGTTATCATTAAATGATATTAATATTATCATTAATGTTATCATTAATTTATATACCATCACTAATTAATATATTTGTTAAAGGTAAGGTTATGTTATTCATCCATCTTTACTGAACTGGATTTGCAATTACAGGTAAGTTTTTCACTTATTTTTATCATTCATATCATATTACAAAATTAACAAAGGTTAGGGTTAGGATCTGCCCATGGTGACGATCATCACCAGTGACAAATAGATTTATATTGTTATTATTTATTAGGTTTAGTAGAAGCAAAGACTTCTCATTTAATTTTAATTTATATTAGCACATGCGTAGTAGTATTTGCACTTTTTATTAAAAATTTAAAATTTGAATTTTTCTCATATCCAACCAATAAGAATTAATTAATTATATAATAGACATAAAATATAAATAATAGATTAATAACTAATATATATGTAATAATGTATTTGATTTTAATAATTTTATCAATGAATTTAATAAAATTTAAAATTCTTTCTTTATAATTTAAAATAGTTATTTTCTAAATTATACATTCATATATTTATATATTTATATATTTATATATATTTCAATAATAATTGTACATTTTAAATGAAATCATATATATATATATATAAGTCAAACTAAATGAGTGAATAAAATTATCAAGTCCTTAATAAATAACTAGATGCATTATGGAATAAGGTTTTCCTCTTTCTCGTTCCAATTAGAAGTTGACAATGACTGTAATTATAGATTATTAATTATTATATATTAATTATTATTATTATAATATATATTTTATTATTAAATATATCTATATATCATTATTAAAATATATTGTGATATAGATAATAAACAATATTAAAATATTTAATCATTAAAAATACCTGGAAATCCATTGATCTTATTTTATCAGACCATTTAACTAAAAAATGTCGTACACGCATATAAATGATTAATAAGAATCTATATTAATAAATATAAATTATGTATGAATTATGTGAATATGAATAATAAATGTAATTATTCATACCAAACAAGTATCCCACATTCTAATCATTCTAATGGTATTCTTTGATTTCTCGCGTAAGTAAACAAATTCATTCATCGAAATTCAAATTGTATGAATTCTAATCCTTTTTCTTGGTAGGTGATTATTATTATTATTTATTATTATTTATTATTACTATTATTATTTATTATTATTATTATTATTTATTTACTTATTATAATCAATTAAATAAGTAAATAATTAAAGATAAGTGTATAGTAATAATAATAATAATATCATCAATTATATTTATCAAATATTTTAATTTTTTTATTTAACTTTGTATTCCTGATTGAGAGAATGTATAATTATCCTAAATAAAAAAAGGTATAATTAAAATATCATTAAAAATATCATGGAAATATTATAAAAGATTACCTGAATCATCATCTAGTAATTTAGATAAACACCAAAACTATATGCTTCAATAATATTTAATGCTTCTTTGGGAAGATTACTTGGATCATAAATTTCTGGATTTTCATCTAAAATAATTTATTAAATATTAAATTTTTAAATATTGATTATTAATTAATTATCAATAATAAAATCAATAATAATAATAATAATCAATAAATAATCAATAAGATAATCAATAATATATATATATAACTTATATATAACTTATATATAACTTATATATAACTTATATATGCAAAGAGAAAAACTTGAAAGAATGAAGTAATGAGATCATTAATTCTTTAAACATATTCACTAGCTGTCTAATAGCCTATACATGACTCAATTACTGAAATTTTAATTGTATCCGTGTAATTGCGTCAAATAATTGCGGCAATTGGGTCAATTGCATCAATTTTTTATATGACTCAATTCATTGTGCCTGACTAAATTCAATAGTTTTGATGACATGTATATAATAGCCCATATACATAGTCAAGATTCTGTGTTTTATTACGTGTAAAATTATAAATAATAATAAAAAAAAAATAATACCTGTTGTGTAGTTTCATATTAATAAAGTGCTGTCCTGGGATTTGTTCGTGGCACATCAACATGAATCTAATATTAATATTGATTATAATAAAATATTAATATTAAATCAATAAAATATAAAATATACTAACTTGATGCCATATAGTTTGATCTAACACTGAAATCCCCCTAGAATAAGCCAGTAAATACTATCTTCGAATTCTTTTCTTTTACGTGCTAAAGTTGCTACTCGTCGATCAGAATTACAAGGAAGATACCTCTATAAATGATGTACTATATCTTTTCATAAGATACAAAATAATAGAATTAGATTATCAAGTTAAAAGAAATGGTAATAATATATGGAATAAGGATCAAACCCCTCCTCCCATAATATTACCTAAGTCACGAAGTACTACCTGTTTGAATGTTTAGTGTCGTCAGCCATAGTTCACTCTTCTACTATCCATCTCTTTCTCTCCTTCTCATATCTCCGATCTTTTGCTGCCAACTTTATGTTTAGCTCTCTTAACTTCTCCACCTTATCGACGCAATTATCGTTCGCGTCGTTGCAAGAAATTTTGCACATGTACTACATGTCAATTCATTTACTAGCCAATCACAATTGTTCACATAATTCACATAATTCACATAACCTAAATTTAATTTTATAATTATTTTATTTTATTTTGTGAAAATAATACGAATCATTCCTTTTGAACAAAGTTTTTTTTTTTTAAAAAAAATAAAAAAATGACCAGAGACGAATACAGTGTTGTCGTTGAAATGGACGATGACGTAAATTGAGAAAAGTTTCATATTATTATTTTTTTTAAAAAAAAATCGGTTCGATTGATCTAAACTTTAACTTATTTATGCATCACACTTTTTTTTTTAATAATAGACTCCGGTGTTAAGAGAAGAACTTGAGTTTCAAGGTTGAAAAAATTATTCAAGTTTTGAAAAAATATATATATATATATACATATACGAATATGATTTACTAAATTTCAAATATTTCGTAGATTTTTCTTCTGGTTCAGGTGTTGGTGGAAAAATAGCACAAGATAAACAGCAAACATCTAATAATAATTCGGGTTTGTTATTATGATTAATTGTTGTGATAAATTGTAATTTTGATTAAAAGTAATTAATTGTTCAAATTAAAATAATAAAAAATTAATAATTAATATAATTAATTAAAAAGGATTCAGTGATGCCACATTTTTTGACCAAAATCGAAACACACGAAGTGAACAAAATGTACAACATCCAATTTGGTCGATTGAATATTATTCTCAATACTTTGATGTAGATACAGATCAGGTATAATGAATTAAAATAAACTATAATAACTATAATGAACTAAAATAAATTATAATAAATTATAATGATTATAGTAAATCTTAGAAATTAGAATTAATTACAATGTGTGTATATATGTATATATATTTATATGTATTTTAGGTATTATTACGTGCAGCAAAAAGTTTTTATCCTAAAGAAAGTTTTGCTGAAGTAGTTGGAGCAAATCCTGATCTATACGGTAAGTGATGAATGTATATATATATATATGTGTGTATGGTATATGTATTTATTTATATGGTATATTTTATTTAGGACCATTCTGGATATCCACAACAGTGATATTTTTACTTTTCGTCACATCATCTATTGCGGAAACAATTGCATCACTTATTGATAAAAAAGGCGAACAACAATTTGATTTTGCAATTTTATCATTCGCAGTGGGCGCGATTTATTCATATGCATTTGGAATTCCACTTTTGGTCTGGATCACTTTAAAATATTTTGGATGTAAACCTTCATTAATGGGAATTCTTGGATTATACGGATATGGATTAACCGTTTGGATTCCGATATCGGTGAGTTTTTTATATCATTAATTAAATATTTTATAATTAATATTATCATTAATTATATATTAATATTATCATATATTATTAAAGGTCATATGTATAGTTCCCAATGAAATTATTCGATGGACACTTGTCATTGCTGGATTTGCAATTTCAGGTAAATTTTATATCATATTATATTTCATTTCATATTATCATTCTCTTATTATTATTATTATTATTATTATTATTATTATTATCATTATTATCATTCATTCATTCTTTCATTATCATAATAATATTCTTAGGTTTCTTTAAAACCAAAAACCTTTATCCAGTTATATCAGCAGCAGAAGCAAAAACTTCTCGTTTAATTCTTATATTTATATTAGGAGCACATGCAGCATTTGCACTTTTATTAAAATTTGAATTTTTCTCATATACAACCCATAATAATTAATTACATTCCAGGTTATAATAGACATAAAATATAAATAATAAATTAATGAATAAATAAATAAGTAAATAATAAATAGGTAAGTAAATAATAAATAAATAAATAAATATTAATTATATATATAAATAAATAAATATATATATAGGTGTGTGGGTGATATTAAATAATGTATTTGATCAATAAATTTAATAAAATTCTTAAATAATTGTTTTCTAAATTATACATTCATATATTTTATATTCATATATTTTATATATTCATATATTTATATCCAACAAATGTTTATAATAATTCTGAATAGTAATTTTGAATAATAATTTTTGAATAATAATTTTTGAATAATAATTTTTGAATAATAATTGTATATAAAATTATCAAGTCCTTAATAAATGACTAGGTGCATTATGGAATAAGGTTTTCCACATATATGCTTCAGATACTAAAAGTTCAATTTCTTTCTCACCCCAATTAGAAGTTGGTAATGATTGTAAAAACATCATAATTCCCTATATTATTATACATTAATTATTTATATTAATTATTATTATAATAAATATATATCATTATTATATATTAATTATTATTATAATATATATTTTATTATTAAAATATATCATTATTAAAATATATTATTATGATATATATCATTATTAAAATATATAGTGATATAGATAATAAAAAATATTAAAATATTTAATCATTAAAAATACCTGGAAATCCATTGATCTTATTTTATCAGACCATTTAACTAAAAATGCCGCACACACATATAAATGAAATTCCGAAAAGCCATCTGTTCCTTCTGCCTATTAATAAGAATTACAATAATAAATATAAATTATGCATAAATTATAAATGATGTATAAATTATGTATGAATTATATATTAATTATGTGAATATGAATAATTAAATAATAAATTACAAATAATAAATGTAATTATTCATACCAAATAAGTATCCCACATTCTAATGGTATTCTTTAATGACATTTCTCGCATAAGTAAACAATTCATCCATCGAAATGCAAATTGTATGAATTCTAATCCCTCTTCTTGTAGATGAGTTGCTAAAGGTTCTATTATTATCATTATTATTTTATTTATTATTAAACAATTAAATAATAGATAATATATATAAGTATATAAATAAATAATTAAAGATAAGTGTATAGTAGTAATAATAATAATAATAATAATACCATCAATTCTATTTATCAAATCTTTTAATTTATTTATTTGACGTTGTATTCCTGGTTGAGCGAATGTATAATTATCCTAAATAAAAAAAAGTATTATTAAAATATCATTAAAAATATCATGGAAATATTATAAAAGATTACCTGAATGCCATCTAGTAATTTAGATAAACACCAAAAACTATCTGCTTCAATAACATTTAATACTTCTTTGGGAAGATTACTTGGATCATAAATTTCTGGATTTTCATCTAAAATATTAAATTATTTAAATATTGATTATTAATTAAAAGAGAAATAATAATCAATAAATAATCAATAAATAAATCAATAATAATAATCATCAATAAATAATCATTAAGATATAATAATCAATAATATATATATAACCTATATATGCAGAGAGAAAAACTTGAAAGAATGGAGTAACAAGATCATTAATTCCTTGAACATATCCACTAGCTGGGTGTCTAATAGCCCATACATATAGGATACGTTCAAGACACTATATTTTATTACATATAAAAAATCATCAATAATAAAAAATAATAATTATATTGTATTATTTGATTTTTAATATTTAAATTTATAAAATTTTTTTTTTTAATAATAAAAAATGTAATAAAATAATAATAATAATAATAATAATAATAATAATAATAATAATAATAATAATTAATAATAATAATAATAATAATAATACCTGCTGTGTAGTTTCATATTGATAAAGTGCTGTTCCAGGATTTGTTCGTGGCACATCAATATGAATCTAATATAATATTAATATTAAATTATTAAATTAATTATAATAATTAAATTAAATATTAAATTATTAAATTGATTATAATAAAATATTAATATTAAATTAATAAAATATAAAAATATACTAACTTGATGCCATATGGTTTGATCCAACCCTGAAATCCCCCTAGAATAAGCTTGTGAAACACTATCTTCGTATTCTTTTCTTTTACGTGCTAAAGTTGCTACTCGTCGATCAGAATTACAAGGAAGATATCCCTATAAATGATTATCGTGATGATTATCGTGATGATTATTGCTATTATTATTACATGACATAATTTATTATTATAATGACATAATAATTATTATTATTATTAAATAAAACTTACAAGTAATAATTGCCAAGCCATTGGTCTTAATTCATCTGATATACCAGACCAACTAAGTTGCCTTAATGCAGCTAATTATATTATATATTTAAAATATTAAAAATTTAAAATTATAAAATAATAAAAATATATAAATAAATATAAAATATAAAATCAAAAATGTATAAACAAAATAAAATATAAAATATACAAAATATATATAAAAACATAATTACCTAAATCTACATTAGGACTTTGTAAAATATCCTTAAACTTTTTAAATCTGGTATTTAACCTTATTCTTTCTGCTTCACTTTGTCGACTATTCTTATTAAAATTACTTGATAATTTCATTGTATTAATTGAATTCATTGGATCTATAATTAATTAATTAATTAACTAATTATTAACTTATATATATTGTATACCACATATATATTGTATATTACATAAATATCACATATATATTGTATATTACAAATATATCACATATATATTGACCTTGAACTAGTCCTGCAATTTCTGCCTTTATCCCAATTGTACTTTTTTTTTCTTTATCAGTAACTTTTGGCTGTGTGGCAACAACTAATTCTGGTATCTTTTTTTCAATATTATCTTTATCTTTCTTATTCTTATTCTTCTTATTCTTCTTCTTATCATTCATATTCTCAAATTCATCATCGTTATTCTCATCATCATCATTATCATCATTATCATCATCATCAACATTATCATAATCATTATTATTGTTGTTATTATTGTTCATTGATAAAGAAGATAATTCTTCATCACCATCTGATCGATTTTCTATTTTTAATTTACCAATTATTGATAAATCTTCATCATCTAATCTATCATTCCATTCATCATTTGTTTCTGATAAAAAATCTGAAAAATTTGCTATTGTTGGTTGCTGTTGATGATGATGATGATTTGAATGATGATGATTTGATGATAATTCTTCTTCTTGATTTGGTAAATCTCTTGCAATATTAGAATGACTATTATAATTAGAATTATTATAATTAGAATTATAATTAGAATTATTGTTATTATTCTCATTATTATTATTATTATTGAAGAAAATTAATTAGTTAGTAATATAATTTTCATTTTATTTTTTATCAAAAAAATAATCATCATGCCTTAAAGCTTCAGCAGCGCTTACTGCTAACATCTCTCCATATGTGTGTTGTGCTCCAAATACCATATTTGTTGCCCCTGTTTTGGATTCCACTGGTTTGACACTAGAATATTGAAGTTAAATATAATGTGAATAGAATGTGAATAGAATGTGAATAAAATTTGAATAGAATATGATTTAAATAAATATTAACAGAATATGAGTTAAATAAAATATTAATAGAATATGAGAATCGAATATGAAAATAGAATAAGAGAAGTAGATTAATATTTTTACCTTCCTGGCAATGCAGCTGTATGACGTCTCCAAAAACTTCTATTAAAAAAAAAAAAAAAGATATAAATAAATATAAAATAATATATTTGAATAAAAATAATACTTACTTTTTGGAAGGATCGGAAAAAACATCAGCCATGTTTTAATGTTATATTAAATACTGTTTAAAAAAAATGTTAACGGTTTTAAAAAATATATATATCCGATATAATTGTAAAAATATATAAAAATATTTCGAATCAATCAATCAAAAAACGCGAAATTGAAAGGAATTTAACAAGTAGTATATCTACAAGTATCTATATTGAATATCTTGACTTAATTTAGATAAATTTAACTGTTTGTTTAATGTAAATCATATCATAAGTTATAAAGTATACCACGAATTCATAATGAAGTTTATTATAATCTTTTTTAGTTAAAATCTCTAACGCCTTGACATGACGCTACATTATATTCATCACATTCATCATAGTCATTATAGTAATTATAGTCATTATAGCATTAAATGAAAACAATTATTTTTATTCCCATTTTACAACCAAAATTTTGCAAAGGGTATAATGAAATCCCTAATTCAATTATAGTAAATAACAAATGAATATAAACAAATGTAAATAAACAATATATAAGCAAATGTATAATAAATAACGTCAGTTATCAATATTTATTTTTGCAAATGCATAAAATAGAAATATAGTTATGTTTCCCATATTTAGGCATTAGTATAATTATAAAATAATAATATGATTGTCCCGATTGTCTCGTTTTCGAAGTTATGAAAGCTTGCCCTCAAGATCAATAATAATAAATAAAAAGTGAATTATACAAAATCACATTTTTTTTCTTTATCTTCTTTATAAATTCTATTCTTTCATTGTATCTCCCAAATCATTTAAATAATTGGAATCTGCTTCATGAATTAAATAACTCAACTATACATGTTTTCAAAATAAAATGTATATTTTGACTTTTAAGATTTTTAAAATATTTATTTTACATCTGAAGATAAAAAAAGTATCTGGTCTAATGTACTTTTAATCAAAGAATTTATCTGGATGTAAGGTTGCCAGGTGTTGACAAAATGTTTTGTCATTGATAAAACTCAAAATATGACTAAACAATTTTAGCCAATCAAAATTCATGATTATTAATATTATTTCAAACTTTATATTGTAAAATATCATAATTAATATTTAAATAATATTTTCCAGAATAAGCTCTTTCAATTGGTATTATTAATACCTTTATAAAATCACTTTTTATTATATAAATTATAAGTAAAAATATTTATTAATAAATATCTAATAATGAAACATTAACTTTGTATAAAGAAGTTTAATTTTAATGAAACAACTATCAAAATATTCACCTCGAAGAAAAATCTAATGAGCTATAGATCACAAGAATTGAATTACAAGACAGTAAAAATGTTCCATATATCATGAAAAATTATAATAGATATCTATTAATAAATATCTAATGATAAAATATTAACTTGCATAAAAAAGTACAATTTTAATAAAACAACTATCAAAATATTTGCCTTGATAAGAGAAATCTAATAAGCTATAGATCACTAAAATTGAATTACAAATGTTCCATATAACATGAAAAATTATAATAGATATCTATTGATAAATATCTAAATATAAACATTGACTTTGTGTAGAGAAGTTTAATTTGGATAAAACATCTATAAAAATATTTGTCTTGATGAGGAGAATCTAATAAGCTATAAATTACTAAAATTGGATCACAAGTTATTAAAAACATTCCATATAACATGAAAAATTATAATAGAATTTTATTTACTAATAAAAATCTAATGATGAAATATTAACTTTGCATAAAAAAATTCAATTTTGATGAAATATCTATTAAAATATTTATCTCAATAAAGAAAATTTAATGAGTTATATATTGTTAAAATTGAATTACAAACTAGTGAAAATATTCTATAAAACATAAAAATATAATTTATTGATAAATATTTAATTATAAAACATTAACTTTGTATAGAGAAATCCAATTTTGATAAAACAATTATCAAAATGTTTATCTCAATGAGAGAAATCCAATAAGTTATATATCATAAAAATTCAATCTCAAGTTATTGAAAATATTCTATATAACTTGAAAATTAAATTATTAAAATTTTTTTTTATTGAGAAAAGTCTAATAAATTGTAAATTACAAGAATAGATTACAGGTGAATGAAAATGTTTCACATAATATGAAAAATTATAATAAAATTTTATCTACAATATAAACTTTATATAGAAAAGTTCAGTTTTGATAAAACAATTATTAAAATGTTTATCTTAATAAGAAGAAATTAATAAATATAAATTTCAAAATTTTTAATATTCTTAATAAGGATTATCAAGAAGAAGAAGGGATTAGTCTTATAGTAAATGAATATCAGATAATTTCTAATATGTTTCTTATTGATATTGATATTTTAATAAATTATCTTTAAACATTAATAATTAATGCTATAGGAATAAAATATATATTATTATATAATTAAGAACCAGAACTTTTGATTAGTTATAGAAATATTTTAATAAAAAATTATCTCAAATTATATAAAATCAATTTGAATTAAAAATAAAATAATTATTTTAAATATTAATATCTTTACAAATATTAATATTAAAAAAATAATTTAACTATTATTTTAAAACTTATAATAAGAACTTTCAAATAATTGTAAAATTTATATTTAATAATAATTATTTAATAAATTTTATAATTACACTAACTAATTAGAATTATATTATTATTTAAGCTTTATATCAGAATTTAACTTTGTATCAAAATTTAATTATTATATCAAATTGTATCAAGGTTATATATATTTTCAAAATTGATTTCTGATTTTTGAGATATTCTATTTTTTTTAAAATTTTTGAAATATTTATTTTAATATGAAAATAAAAAAAATATTTAGTTAATGTATTTTCAATTGAAGAATTTATTTAAGTAGTTAAAAATTTTTGAATTTTAAGTAAAATTAAATTATTTTTTATGAAAAACTATTTTAATTTTTGGATTTCAAAGTATTTCGACTTATTAAAATAGTTTACTTTATATATAAATATAATCAAAGTTAATTCTTAAATTTAATTGACTATATTATATCTTATTAAATTTCTAGTTTAATTTATATTGTATTTACTATTCCTAATAGCATATACAAAAAAAATTATATTTGATATTATTAATATTATTAAAATCTAATTAAATATTTAAAAATACTGATCGAAAATTGATAAAACATATACATATCGGATACCCGATATGTGCATGGTGTGTCCCTAATATCGGGTATATATCGGGTACCCAATATGTGTAAAAAATATTTTATATATATATCGGATATCCAATATGTGCATGGTGTGTTCCTAATATCGGGTATATATCGAGTACCCAATATGTGTAAAAAATATTTTATATATATATCGGGTACCCGATATATGCCCGATATTAGGGACACACCATGCACATATCGGGTATCCGATATGTGTATGTTTTATCAATTTTCGACCAGTGTTAGTAATATTTTATATTTTTATTCTTATTTTTATATTTTTATATTTATCTCTTATTAGTATTAGTATAGTTATAATCCTTAACAAATTATCATATATATTTATCTTTATCCCTATATTCTTTAACAACATGAATACCCAACAAGCTATTGCAGTTGTAAATGCACTTCAAGATTTAACCTATTGAATGGAAATTAGAAATACTGTACTTATGCCTTACTTTGAAGGAGGAAATCAAGACCCTATTAAATGGCTTGAAGAATTTGAATGAAATGTTCAAGTAAATGAATATCATAACAACTATAAATTATAAGTAGTTGGAGAATATTTGTTAAATAAAGCTAGAATATGGTATGAATTACAAGAAGTCAACATAGGAATCTAATTCCAATCCTGGGTAAATTCAAACAACTGATGTTTTAAAACTCTCTTCCTTAGGCAATTTAGAAATCAAGAAAAAATTATACAATGGAGATCAAAATTAGAGAGACGAGTACAAGGTCTTACTGAACCTGTTAATAAATATGCTTTAGAAATAAAGTGCTTAATTAAAAGAATTGATTATAATAACCATTGAACTGAATTTGATAAAGTTTATCAATTCACTAAAGGACTACGCAGAGAGATTGCCTGTTAATTAAATCCTAATTTAACCTTCCAAAACAACCTTACTTTTAATCAAGTGATTGAAGCTGCTCGATGCATAGAGAAAAATAATAGAGTTTATTCAGAAGCTCTATTAAGATTTTAACAACCTCATATTAATAATCCAGTTGCAATAGCATATTCACACCAAAACTCAAATTCAGTTCCTCAAAGTAATCCTGTTAAGCAGCAATAAATAAAGTTTTAAATCCTTTGATCCAAGTTTTGAAAAAGTTAGCATTAGGACAAGGAAATAATAATACAGAAAACACAAACCAATCTCAGTCCAACAGACCAAACTATAATAATAATGATAATTTTGATAACAATAATAATAATAATAACAGACCACTCCAAAGACCAGTTACATATTATAAATGTAATCAAATAAGACATTATTCTAAAAATTGTCCTAGTACCAATAATAACAATAATAACTAAACAATACCTCCTGTTAATAATCAAGTCTCTACAAATCAAAATATATATGAAACCCATTTGTTTGCACAGCAACAACCACAATAAACAGTACAACCACAAGTTTACCAAATGCAAATCACTAGTCGAAAATTGATAAAATATACACATATCGGATACCCGATATGTGTATGTTTTATCAATTTTCGACCAGTGAATGCCTCAAGCACAACAACAAATATCTCAAGTAAATCAATATCAAAATATTCCTCCAGTGGTTTCTCAGAAATTTCCTCAGAATCAAAATCAACAAGTTTTAGTAGAATTACATGAAACAAGAACAGTGCCATTAATTCAACAAGTTTATCCTGTTGAGTATTTAAACTAGAAAACGTACCCCAGGAATATACGTGTTGCCCAAATCTCAAATCATTTGGGATTTGGGATGCCAAAATCCCAAATTACTAGTATTTGGGGTTTGGGATTTGAGATTTTGGCAAAAAATACTAATCATAATTTGGAATTTGGGATTTGGGATTTTAGCATTTGGGATTTCGGCATTTGGATTTTGAATTTGGGTGGCAAGTATACCTAGGAGGGTGGAAGTATGTCTAATAATGCAATTTTCTCATATACAGAAGAATCTCAAGAACTATAACAGTTCCGACATGTTGCTAAATTACAAAATAAAATATTTGGTAGCAATGAAGTTGAAATGACAGATGTGCTTATTTCAGAATTTACAAAAGTTAAAGGTTCTAAGGATAATAAAGGAAAACGAAAAGTAGAAGGTGAACAGAAAGAAGAAAAGAAAGGAAGACAAAAGTTAGCTTTTACTGAGAGATCTTTATTAGAGCAAAAGACTATGTCATACTCAATTGTTGAAGATTTGCTACATGTCAAATCAAATATTACTATAGGGCAATTAGAAAATATATCCAAATTCAGAAATGAGTTAAGAAAAGCTATAACTCTAAGACGAAAGAGAGATCCTAAGAAAAAAGAAAAGAAGGATGGAGAAATCTTAAAAAAAAAGAAAAGAAAGATGGAAAAGAACCAAATTTGAGAAGTACTTTTTACTCGAATACTCTTATAATTTGTAAGGAACAAGTAGGAGGATAGATCATTGATATTATTCTGGACAGTGGTTCATCTACAAGTATTATTTCAAAGAAATTTCTTGAACATCTGAACAAAACTGCAACCCGTAAATCAGATAAAATGATTACTGGCATATATGATAACAAAAGGTCTAGCTTGAAAATTATTAACAATATTACAGTTCACATTGGTAATATAGTAGTATCTACAGATATGGAAATTATTGATACAGTATCCTATTCCATGGTATTGGAAACTGATTGGTTACAAAGGCCAATGCAGTAATAAACTATAAAGATTCTCAAGTAACTATTTCTGATAATTATAGAAGAGCCCAAGTTTCTTGCAAAAATTTTACTGCATCAACTCCCCCAGTAATGAATAATGAGAAAGATTCAGATAATAATGACTATGAATATGAAGAAGATGAAGATGAAGATGAGGATGGTAACCTTGTCTTAATGGTAAATGAAGAGGAAAGTCCAGATCAACATTTTTACAAATTTACTCTTTGGAGAATTGAAATTAACCATGAAACCTTTACCTGACAAGAATATGATTATATGAATCGACAATTTAATTTCTGGTTAACCAACCAAAGATACTGACATCAAGTTAAACATTGGTTTGAAGGACCTAACAAAGAATGTTGGTGTCAAAAACAATTACCAACAGAAAAAAATAAATATAATAATTGTTATGAAGATTATTCCTGCTAGGAAACAATTCAAATAATTCTAGTACAAGAAATCAAAAATGCATAATTATTTTTAGTAAAAGGAGGAGTAGAAGAATTAGCTCAGAATAAATATAATTATATTGTTCAAGATATATTTGAAAAATATTCAAATGTTATAATCAAAGATTTAACTCAACTTGGCTATACAAATATTGTAACCCATCACATTGATACTGGAAATACTAGAGAAATAAAATAACACTATTACAGAACTTCCTTCAAACATGAGTCTTTTATAAAGGAGAAAATAGAGTACCTCAAAGAACAAGGACTTATAATACTTTCTCACAGCCTTTGGACTTCTCCTGCACTTGTAGTTAACAAGGCAAATGGAAAAATAAGACTTGTTATAAATTATTGTCAATTAAACAAAGTGATAAAACCTGATGCATATCCTTTTTCTAAAGCTAGATGTTCTTGTTCACAGTAAATACTTTTCAACTCTTGACGTAACTTCTAGTTTCCGGCAAGTAGCAATGCATACAATTGACCAAGAGAAAACTGCTTTCAGTATCAAGTTTGACACTTATGAATTTACAGTCATATCTTTTGGTTTAATGAATGCTCCAGCAACCTTCCAATGCTTGATGGATAATGTCTTCTATGATATGACTTGGAAGTTTGTTTTAGTATACACTGGTCGAAAATTGATAAAACATACACATATCGGATATCCGATATGTGTATGTTTTATCAATTTTTAATCAGTGATATATAGATGATATTATCATCTATTCAAAATCTTTAGAAGATCACTGTATTCACCTTAAATAAGTTTTACAGTTATTAATTAAAGCAGGTCTAAAGTTAAATTCTGATAAGTGTAATTTCTTTAGAAAATAAATACTTTTCTTTGGACATCTAGTATCTAAGGAAGGAATTGAACCAAACCCAACCTTAGTTAAGAAAATTAAGGAATGTCCTCCTCCAATTTTCAAGAGAAAAGTTAGATCTTTTCTTGGACTTGCCTTATATTATAGAAGATTTATAAAGAATTTTTTCAAAATTGCCAAACCTTTATATGAATTAACTAAACAGAATATAAACTTCCGCTGGTCTGAAAATTGTCAAAAGGCTTTCGAGCATTTGAGAACTTGTCTTACTACTAATTTTTCAAAACCATTTATTTTACACACTGATGCTTCAGATTATGCTATTGGAGCTGTTCTAGCTCAGTTGGATGATGTAAAAAAGGAACATGTTGTTGTATATGCTAGTAGAGTACTTAATGAAGCTGAACGAAATTATACTGTGACTAAAAAGAAATGTCTTGCCATTATATGGGCTACTAAGTACTTTCATCATTTCTTACAAGAACATAAATTCAGTATTGTTATTGATTATGAGGCTATTCCTTAGTTAAAGAAACACAAGCAACCTAAAGGATATCTAGCTCAATGAATAATTCATTTGTCTGAATATGAACCTTATAATATTATTAAATGAAAAAGAAGTAATTATACAAATGCAGATGCACTCTCAAGATTAGATACTAATCCAGTAGATAGTCTTCTTTTCCTTTTATTTTAACCTTTTTATATATATTTATAAGTACACCATTTATCATGGATATAAAAGTGTACAATGAATTTATTGATTACTTATTTTGACATAATTATTTACCTGAATTAATTCTATAACAAAAACAAAAATTAGCAAGACAAGCAATACAGTATATAGTAGAAAATAATATTTTATTTAAGAAAAATAAACAGAACTCTGAAAACCCCTTTCATGTTATAACTCTATAGGACAGAGAGAAAATTTTATATAATTTACATTTGTCTCCTTTGGCAGGACATTTTGGTCTAAAGAAAACAATAGAGAATGTAACAAGAAAATATTACTAGTCTGATATGGGAGCAGATATTAAAACTTATATTGAATCTTGTGACAGTTGTCAAAGATTTAGAAAGCCAGGAAAAGTACAATTATTATAATCTATACCAGTAGTACAACCATTTTATCAAATAGGAATAGATTTCATAGGACCTTTAAACATTACCCCCTCTGGAAACAAATATATTTTAGTAGCTGTTAACTACTTTACTAAATAGCCAGAAGCAAAGGCAGTAAAAGAAGTCACTGCTAAAGAAACTGCTAAGTTTTTATACGAAACTATTATTTGTCAACATAGAACTCTCTCAATAATATTATCTGATAGAGGAATTCATTTTGTAAATAAAATAATTAAATTAATGAATGAGGAAGTAGGATTCAGACATAAACTTTTCTCTACTTATTATTCCCAAACAAATGAATTAACAGAACGATTTAATGATACCTTATGCAAGTCTCTTGCTAAAAGTTTACAGACCAGTAAATCCAATTGGGATGAATTAACACTGATCGAAAATTGATAAAACATACACATATCAGGTACCCGATATGTGCATGGTGTGTCCTTAATATCGAGCATATATCAGGTACCCGATAAGTGTAGAAAATATTTTTTTACACTTATCAGGTATCCGATATATATATAAAATATTTTCTACACATATTGGGTACCCAATATATGCCCGATATTAGGAAAACACCATGCATATATCAGGTACCCGATATGTGTATATTTTATCAATTTTCGACTAGTGTAATTTCAAGTATTTTATTTGCATATAGAATATTAAAACAAGAATCTACAAAATATACTCTTTTTATTTTGTACATGATAAAGAAGCATAACTACCAATAGATATTAAATTTCAAGACCAAGAACAAAATTTAAATTCAATTGAAAATTTTGAAGAATCTTTGAATAGAAGAATTAGTGTTTTAAAAGGAATATTTATTGATGTTCAAATTATTAATCATAGAAATATTCGACATATATAGGAACTCCAAAGAAATTGTCAACAAAATTTAAAGAAAGCTTAAACTTATAAAGTTAATGATATTATTTTATTATACGACTCTACAAAACAACATGTGCATGGAGATAAATTTTCAATAAAATGGAATGGACCCTTTTGGATACAAACAAAATTAGAAAACAATATATATTTAATTCATAATAAATTAAGAAAGATACTTCAGAAGTCAATTCATGTAGAAAAAATGAAACATTACAAACAGAGATACCTTGTAGAACTACAGGTTGTAATCACCTCTTGATTACACAAAATTAATTTTGTACAAAATTGAAATTTATATATATATGAATTTGATACTATGGATAATTTTAATTGAGAACAAAATGAATTTACAACTTACCTCTGAACAACAACAAAAATTAATAGACCTTTATTAAAGTTTCTACTCAACTTCTAATATAAATATACAATTCAATCCTGGTAAAATCAAAGTAAAAGTAAATAGTTATGAAACTACCGTAGTAGTTCCTGAAACAAAAACAAAAAGAAAGCCAATAAGCAAATATATTGAAGATGCTTATGATGCTGAATATGAATTAGACCAAACTATTAACAATGAAGAGAGTTTTGATACTCTTTTAAAATTTACAATTGATCTAAGTAAATCTAATGGTCAGAAAATACAAGCTTATTTCAAATTTGGAATCAAGTAACCTAAAAAATTAAAGGAAAGGAGAAACAACAGACCAGATTAAAAGAAGTATCTGGAATTTAATTCAAAGAAATGGAACTCGCTTCTTGAGAATTGCTCAAAAGTCCAATAAAGTAACAGAGGTAGTAGAAGAGTTTTTACTTTAAAGATTTGAACATATTACTCTCACCTGGTTAAGTCATATTAAAAATGAAGAGTTTAAAGACTTTTTAATCAAACTCAAGGCCAGATATAGGCAAGATATTGAGCTTCTCACAGGAGCTCAAGAGTAAAGGAGGAAATGTTGTGACACTCTAAATTATTATTTTTATCTTTTATCTATTATTATCTTCTTTATTTGTATTATTTATAATTATAGTTAATTTTGTAAATCAGTGGTATGAATTAAGAAGTGCTACATTTAAGGATTATCATTGTTAACTTATCTAGGTATATACTTAGGTATGATACCTAGAGAAATACCCAGGTAGGATACCTGGGGGGTAGATAATGAAATTACTTTTGATAATATTATTTATATTACTTGGTAAAGAATCAATCTAGTGTAGAGAATAGTATAGTTTGTCTGCAGCACAAAGAGTACCTAAAGGATATAAATACAGGTCTCTTTAGCTTTGGTTTTAGTCAATTAGTTAAAGTTCAGATCAAGTTTAATAGTTTAAGTTTAAGTTCCTTAGTTATAATCCTCTGATTTATTCTTTTAATAAATATTATTTTTTTTATTATTCTTATATACTTATCTTTTATTATTTATTATCATATATCTTATCCATTTCTTACATTTCTTTGTATTTATTTTAATAAAGTTAATATTAAAATAAAGTTATCATATAATTTATCAACTTTGAAACTTTTACACATACACCTTGCTAAGTCACAAACTAACTTGATGTTGTAAAAACCCTGTCACAATAAAGAATTCACTTCTAAGTTAACCCTCTTTCCTAACTCTATAATTTGCTATAATTGATCATGTAGGATTATCATAAATAGTATGATAATTACATAACCTTTTATTAGTTTTTGTTAGAGAAGATTCTCTATCTTTCAGAACATTGTTGCATTGGATACATGACAGTATATTCAATTAAAGAATAAATCTGGGTGGTCAAAAAATTTTGGATTTTAAGTAAAATAATTTCATCTTCTATGAAAAACTATTTCAACTTTTTTCTTTTTTCTTCAAAATTGTAATTTTGGAATCTCAAAATGATTTTACGTGCAAGTATAGTTGAGATTATTTTCTAAATTTCATTATTTTAAAACTATTTGAATTTTCTTTGAAATAATTGAATCTCTTTTGAGGTGAAGAGAAACTTACCCTTTTTATATTATTTAGTTTGGTCAGTAAGTTGGTCAAAATCTTGGCCAGTAATTGTGCCAATCAGTTGATCACTAAATTGGTCAATCAGTTGGCCACTAAATTAATCAGTAAATTGGCCAGTAACTAGGTCACTATGATTTACATTATTGATTTACATAATTTGTATTATGCTAATAAATAAATACTAATTATAACTGATAAATAAAATATACTAAATATAATTATACTAACAAAATAAATAACAAATAAGAAATAAAATAATAATAAATAAAAGTTATTAAAGTGGAGGAAACTCATGGTAACATTATATCTTAGAGAGGAGTTGTTTCTTCTATAGAGTTTATTATATTTAATTAAAGAGTCTCATCTTCTTGAAAGAGGATTATGTTGTCCATACTTATTATGACTTTGAGTTATTCTTGATTCTTTGTTTATTTCCCAAATTTTGTAAAATGGTTGAGTAATCACAATGTATTTTCTTTTATTGTATATAATATTTCTACTGTCAAATTTAATTAGAACTACTTTTTCTTGATAGGTTAGTATAGTTTCTTTGAAGTCATCATTTTCTTCTAGGATATAAGTAGTGAAAAAGAATCAAATAAAAAATTCTTTTAGTTTAGGAAGGGTAATATTCTTCAAGAAAATATCATGTTCCGTAATTTTATTAGTTTTAGGATTTTTCACAAAGAGTATTGCTAAAGTTTGTAATATAGTAGTATTGCCACCAGGAGGTTGTACTCCCAAAAAAATATTTTTGTCTTCTGTTAGCATAGGAGTTTTTCAAAATTTACTTTGAAATTTTATTTTGATATTCACTTTGGGATTTTGGAGAAAGAACTTTTTTTAATAAAAGAGCATAATAATTTTAATTACAAATAAGAATAATAATATCATTTATTTTTTCTAAGAACAATAATAAATCATAATATCATTAAGGACTTTTTCTAATATTTATACATAATTTATTTTTATCTTTTCTTTATTTTCTAAGTTTGATTATTATATGAGTTACATGATAATAGTGCATTTGAAATTTTATTAAGTGACAGTTTACCATATAGATTACTTGTTTACACAAAATCAGGATTATTAATTTGATATTAAAACATCTCAAAAAAATTTTCAAAACTCAAAGATTAAAATGAGCTTAGTAACTATTATTCTAAAATTTCTCATTCAAGCTATAGAATTTTTTAAAGACAAAAAGTCAAGTGTTACATTTCTTTTGTGGATCATTGTATATATTGTACCCATACATTTTATAAGAAGTATTTTACCCTAGAGAATATTTTAGTTGGCAAATTATGGTATATTGTAGTAATCTTCCTTGAACAAAGTATAAAATTACAGCAATCAGTCTTACTAAATTGAATTCATATTATATCTCTTAGTGTGCATAACATTTCGAAACTACACTATACTTCCTGTTAGGTTTTCCTATCTAATTTTACAAGTTATACGTAATATTTCACAACTGTATACTATTCTAGTTAGGCTACAACCTAATTACACTGGTCAAGTACTACAGATATTCTTACACAATTATACATACTGGTATAATCTGAAGATATATAAGCAAATGAGATAAAAGTATCTTTACTGATTTGTTCTGCAAACTTTTGAATATTAGATATTAATTTTATACAGTAACTTTAATCAAGAAATTAAATAGTTTATCAAATTTATTACAAAAATTAGTAATAAAGGTATTATGAGCTGTTAACTATTTCTCAACAATATTACCATTGTTGACACTAGTCATCAAAATTTATTATTATTATATTTTTATCTTATTTATTTATTATATTATTATTTTATTATCATGTATTAGCTTATTTATAACT